GGATGGTATTGGCATATTCCACACCAAAACTGATGAGGCTATGGTTCGTTCGTTCGTTTAGTCGCGTCCGACTCTTCGTGACCCCATGGACCAGAGCACACCAGGCCCTCCTATCTTCCACTGCTTCCCAGAGTTGGGTCAAATTCATGTTGGTTGCTTCGCAGACACTGTCCAGCCATCTCATCCTCTGTCGTCCCCTTCTCCTCTTGCCGTCACACTTTCCTAACATCGAGGTCTTTTCCAAGGAGCCTTATGGTAGGTGTAGCCAAATGAATAGGTCACAACACCTACCATTCTCAGCAACAGCACAAACAATACTAACCAGGCTGGAAATAATCTGTAATCGTTCACAAAGACAGTGTTGCAACTCACCAGCCCACTACATAAGCAGAACTCAGATACTACAGAAAAACATGTCACGCCAAGTGTGCCCCCCTTCCTCTTCAAGGAAAGCACTCAAGGACTCCAAAGAATCTCTTTCACTGTCTCTCATGTGGAACCCACATTGTCATACACCTATCCTCAATTTTCATCTCCAGTCTCATTTCCCATATCAGCTCCTGGTACCTCATTACATCAGATTCCTGGGTCCTCACCATCGTAGCCCAATAATTTTTGTCCATTACTCCAACTGATTACGACCAGTACACCGAATCATTGGACATAATCCAAGCCAAAATCAGCGATCTACTTCAAAAGCATGCAATTCAGCATTGTGAGATGTTTCTACTTCAGATATTTTCTAATTCAAAAAAGTGACAGTGGCCTTTCCACCGTTTTCAGTCTCTGAGCTGCCAACACTTTCATTCAACCAAAGAATTTCTAATTAACAGCAGTGTTAATGGTTGTTAAAGGTAAAGGTTTCCCTTGACAATTCTCTGAGCTGCCAACACTTTCATTCAACCAAAGAATTTTTAGTTAACAGCAGCGTTAATGGTTGTTGCCAGGTGTTAAATGCCACATCATTCACTACTGTCGAAAAATCTTTCCCCAAGGTCATCTATCTGTTCCCAGGCCATACATCTCCATGTAGCCACTCCAGAGGAGGCCAGGAAATTGTCCACAGCAGGGCCTTCTTTGTTGCCAGGTGTTAAATGCCACATCATTCACTACTGTCGAAAAATCTTTCCCCAAGGTCATCTATCTGTTCCCAGGCCATACATCTCCATGTAGCCACTCCAGAGGAGGCCAGGAAATTGTCCACAGCAGGGCCTTGCTGTGGTGCCAGTGCTCTGGAACCAACACCTGGCAGAGCTGCCAAGAATAGTGCATGCATATAAATCTAATAAATAAATGAATATTTATGCCCAGTAAATAATTAGTCTCTTTTGTTTTGCTGTGTATAACTACATAAATATTTTCCATGCAATCCCACTCTCATATCTTTGCACCTACGCAAACTGCCCAACTCCCCAGAGGGAGAGGGAAAGGGAGAGAAAGAGAGACTGATTCTAGAAGCTTCTGAACAAGGCCTCTTCAGGCATTTTGACCCACATGTAGGAGTTTACAGATGCCCATTTAAAGAACCACATTTACCAGTAAGCAACCTGTCCTTTATTAAAAATTTGCTTAACGGACTAAAATTGTCCTCATGCTTCTTGAGAAAGGTGAGGAGCACAAAGGTTGTGCTAATGAAACTCATGCCTTCAATACAGAAAGCTTATTCTTTGTATATTGCCATTCCATTTTATGACAAATTTATCTGAGGGTTGCTGCCAGGACTCTAGCCAAAACAGGACCTGGGCGCTTAGAGATAGGGACACGCCTTGGTATCCTCTCCATTCCTCTCATACTCTCTTCTGTGTCCACGAATATAGGCAAAAGTGAACATGTGAACCAAAGAAGTTCCACTGTCAAGTAAAAATGATATCTCACCAGTTCATGTTTCTGTGCACATGCAAGAAAATAAGAGTTAACTCCAAACATTCTTTGAACTCTCTGAGTTCATTTGTCCCGAGAGAGAGAAAATTCAAAGGGTGCAAGTGGCAAGAAAGTGAGTGCTCAAAGAATGTTTGGAGTTGACTCTTATTTTTCTTCTTTGTGCAAAAAGAATGGGGTGGGGGGAAAGAAATAGTGAACTTCCTTTATTCCAACCTTTCTCACCATACTTTATTGTTATTGTTGTTATGTGTTGTCAAGTTGCACTCAAATTTCAGCAGGCTTAACAGCTGTGTGTGAAATATTTAAGGAGTGGTTTTGCCAGTGTGATCCCACAGTAAGTTTCCATGGCCAAATGGAGATTTCTAGGCTGCCACTCTATTCACTATACCACATTGATTCACCATATTTATAAGACAACTTTAAAAACAGAAAGCAAATACAATATCAAGAAACGAAATCTGTGTATTCAAATAAACATGGGACTCTAAATCAATCCATTGGCTAAAATCTTGCTCGCACATGATTATCCTCTTTCATCAAATTTGCTAGGGGTATGCACAAACTAGAGATCATTGGAGCAATTACAGAATGTTTCATGGGTATTAATGGGATTCTACTTAATATTTACAAAGAACAAAAGTACATAAAAAATTCCCTAGAAAGAGGAGGTGCTCCGTCAGGGTATTCCTTTCCTCCCTGTAAGCTGAATCGTTGTAAAAAATCAACCTTCCTCCAAATTCACTTTTGGTGAACTGTAATTGTTGCCAATAACAGCTTGTGTCCTGCAAAGTAAAAACTGCAAGTGGTGACTAAATAAGGAAAATAGCAGAAGGAAAAAGGAAAGCACTGAAATTACAGAAGGAGTACTTTGAGCCTAATTCTGAAAAGTGGATAGTGAGAAAACACACTGGCTCTGTCTTTGATTAATATTGGTATGTATAAGACCTTGTTGTATCTGACTGCATACTGTTGAGAGACAGCTGTTTGGCTTTGTTGGGCGAAAAAATAAAAATTAAAAGGTTGGTATACAGAGGCAATGCTAAAATGTGTTACTACTGTAATAATATTCTTTACCTTTTGATAGGAAAACAAAGGTGAAGAGGGATAAAAATCGAAGACTAATTTCTCACCTTTGTCACAATTTAATTGCTTTCCACCTGTTCAATGTATTTCTCTCCTGTGTATTTTTCAGTTTGCCTTTGTGCTGAACAGAAATTTTGAGATCAGCAAACAAAGACTTGTCTGCTGCAGATGTTTTCCCCACACACACACTTAAAAAAAAACTGGGAATATAAAAACAAGGAACTATAGAAACTAAGAGGCCATTGAGGTGACTCAGTTCTGTTGAAGCTCTTGGACCAAATTCCCTTGGCAGCTGAAGTTGCTGATCAATAACTTGTGCCATTGACTGGGTCATCACTAGTAACCTTGGCATTAAGTGTAAGTGTAATGTACATGGCAGAGGAAAATAAGGGATGTTCCATAGTGTAAATGTTAGTGGAAATAAAATTTGCCATTTTGCAGGGAGGTTTTATAGAACTGTTCTTAGAAGCCACTACCGGGTTGAGAATGTCACACAATAAGGAATTTTAGCTGTCTTAGCTTTTAGATCGATGCCCAAATAGTAGATTAGATTAAGCAATCCTTCAGTCTCTAAAGACTATGGTAATGTGATCTGAATAGAGGACTTGGAACATGTCTAGTGTTGCCGAAAAGGCCTATTCGAGAGTGGCATTCCATTCCACACTGAAAATAAATACAATCTCTCCCCTGTCCAACTCCCTGATTTGGCTGGTTTCGGGACTGCCTCTTTGCCTCGGCCTTCTGGACAAGTGTCTCTTCAAATTGGGAGATGCCATGATGTACTGCCCGCCTCCAGGCTGAACTCTCAGATGTCAAAGTTTCCCATATGTGGAGGTCCATTCCTAAGGCCTTCAGATCCCGCTTGCAGATATCTTTGTATGGCAGGTGTGGTCTCCCTCTGGCGCGATTTCCCTGCACTAATTCTCCATACAGGAGATCTTTTGGAATCTCACCATCAGCCATTCTCATAACATGCCTGAGCCAATGTAGACATCACTGTTTCAGTAATGTATGCATGCTAAAAATTCCAGCTCGTTCTAGGACTACTCTGTTGAGAACTTTGTGCTGTCAGGTGATATCAAAATGCGTCAGAGACAACACATATGGCAGGTGTTCAGCTTCCTCTTCTGCTATGCACAAAGGGTCCAGGACTCACTGCAGCACAGGAGTGTGCTCAGGAAACAAGCTCTATAGACCTGGATCTTGGTATATGCCACCAGCTTCTTATTAAGCCATTCTCTCTTTGTGAGTCTAGAGAACACGGTAGCTTCTTTGCCAATGCATTTGTCCTGCTCGACATCTAGAGAAAGAGTGTCAGACCAAGAAAGAATCACAGATGTGAACGCTACCCATTTTTCCTCTTTGTATTTCTGTCATATCAGTGACTTCTTGGAACCATTTTGTGATGGTAAAATGTGAGATGCAAAGTAACTTAAGGTTAATACTAGCCATGGCTTTTGTGCATTTCAACGTTGATGTGAGCTATCTGGCCACATGGTTACTTCACAGTTTTTGAGTTTTTCTGGGTATATCTTGCAGTTCTGTCATATACATATGTGTGTGTCCATGCACAGCAACACACACACACACACACACACACACACACACTTATCTTTTAACTATCCATCAAAGTTTTACACCTTTTTCTTAGTTGTGTCCTTCAGTGGTAGTCATATAGTGAAAGTTATTAAGCATACAAGAGAACCAAGTCCAAAAGCACACAAACTAAGTGATTAACAAATGTGGAATGTTAAGCCTGTGAACCACTGTATACTTTGGATGTTGTGGGCTTTTTGGGCTCTTTGGCTGTGTTCTGAAGTTGTTCTTCCTAACATTTCACAGTGTCAGAGTATCCTTTATTGGTACCTTGGAGAGTCCTCTACTAAAAGGTTGGCACTCCACCCGCAACAGCCTCAGGCATGCATCTCTCTCTCTCTCTCTCTCTCTCTCTCTCTCTTTCTCTCATATACGAGTGTAATAGAACAATATTGAATATTGTACGTTGAAATAATATATACTTTGTATTTTCCTAACAGATCTTGAAAACTTCAAAACCAGGACAAGAAGTACAGTGTCAGTCCGACAAGGACAAGGAATGGTATTGCTGTGTGGACCACCCCCACATTCTGGAGGTAAGTTATGTAAATGCCATCTGTTCAGAGCCTCAGCTTCCTTGCCTTTTGGAAACCAACGAAAATGCAGCATTTCTATGTAATAATAAAGAACATGCTAATATTTTTGGATTGAATAGGATTTGCATATAGATAAATATGTATAGCTCTTGAATTGCGTCATGCTGATATGTGGAATCATTAGAAATCCAGCTTTTGCCTGAATTAAAATCTTTGGGTTTTTTGGATGATACTTTGAGATCTCTTCCATTTATTTCATAGTGGTTTTATACTAACCATAATTAATGTATGATTAAAAATGCAAAGCAGAAGTCGCTATTTCTTCAATCTCACATTTAATGCAAAAGTAATTGATTACATATTGAAAGCAGAAATACCATTCCATTGGAAAGGGTAACATATACACAGAGCATCTAAGTAGCTGTTAAGGGCTAGCCTTGTGACGGTAAGATGTTTTTTTCATAGATACATGCCTTGGCCATTAGACTTGCAAATTACACCAGTGTTTTGTATTTCAGTGAGAAATCAGAAAACAAAGCACACCAAACACAAAACAAAGAAGTGAGAAAAATCACATTATGTCAGATAGATGTCTTTCACTATTTGAGCAGATTGCGAAATTATACTGAGATTCATAAGAATCTTGACCTTGATCATGTTATTCAGAAGAAATTTGTTTGGTAGCAAAATTATATCTCAGGAAGCTAAAAGTTTGTATATTTGTTTGATTTATTTCTAATCCCCTTTCTCTCTGTAAAGAAATTCAAAGTGTGACTACATTGCAATATGGTCCTCCAGTTACTCCAGGTTTAGCACTATGCAAATTAATTCAAAATTTCCCAACTATATGGTGGTATTGTAAGTGCAGGGGGAACTTAAAATTTTCTACAAGTGGTCATTTCTATTTTAACACCCATAGGGATTTTGTTTATTTTAAATCTCTCTCTATCATGCTGGTTTTTGACCCACTTTTAATTGCATGAATGCCCATGTTATTGTATGGGGATATTTCAAATGGTATAGGATGCTGTCCCATTGGGAAACCATGCCTGGTGTCCGAACTATTTCCTTTTTAATTTTAATAAATGTTTGGAATTAGCACTGCATCAGATAGGTGCTGGAATCTTTCTGCAACACTGCTGTTCTATGTCACTTAGAACAGAGCTTCCCAACCCCAGTCCACGGCCTGGTGCTAGTCCATGGCCCGAGCTAGCCCGGGCCGCAGAGACAGACCTTCCCCCACATGTACTCACCCGCACACAGCTGATTTGCGCATGCATGAGCACTGTGCTACTGTTTGCACATGCGCACGAGCAAGCACCTGCACAAGCGCTGTGTCGCTATTTGCGAATGCATGTGCTTGTTTGTGCAAGAGAGAGTGTGCGCTTATTTGCGCAAGCACACAAGCACAGGGGGGTGCCCCACCTTCCCCAGCTGGTCCACGGGGTGAAAAAGGTTGGGGACGCCTGACTTAGAATGAAGAAGGGGAAAAATTAACCCTGGTCAAGACAGTTATGGACAAGGACTGAATGTAGGCAGGGTTGGGACAGATCCATGGGCAGATCCAAGTGCCAACTTGGGTCTGTGTAAGCTCATTTAAAGAGTGGTGTGTTTTCCTGCATTGAATCAACCCCGTTCAGTTGAGGCTGCCCCAAGAGGACAGGACAGTGACACAAAGAACACATGGTATGAGTCAATACGATAATACCCTCACCCAAACCTCAGATTATTTCAGTAATGTATTCACATCCTCGGATTGTTTGAACAATTTGAAGCTGTGACCATCAATATTGGAGATGGGGGTATTAGTATATGAATACGAATATCCTCACCTAGCTGGCATTAACGAGGGTCTGGCTCCTGGGGCCAGACCATCCACTCACGTATCCAGTGGCAGTGGCAGCATCGCTCATCCTTCCAATCACCCCAGAAACACCACTCTCTTCCCGCTCGACTGGCCACTCGGCAGTTGTTCAGGGAGACTCGTCCTCCCTCCCCCTGCCTGGAGTAGCTAGCTGAGTGGGAAGAGAGTGGGGATCTGTGAGTGGTTGGAAGCATGAGCAAGGCCGCCACCACCATCTGAAGTGTGGGTGGATGGCCCAGTCCCAGGGGCTGGCCCCTCGTTAAGTCCAGCTACACTGGGATATTTGTAGTCATATACAAATACAAACATCCCCATCTCTAATCAAGATTCTTTCCTAATTTCCTTTTTTTTCCCCACAGCTTTTATTAGAAAAAATCCTTGTATGTTCTACTTTTGACTGTTGCATATTCATAACTGCATTCATGTATGAAGGTTTCTCTGTTTATGTGAGTTTTTCTTTAATGTGAGGTCAGAATGGTATTATTCCTACATCTTTAATCGCATAAAAGATATACAGTGTGTATTAGACATGGGCATTTTATATTCATGTTTAGAGATACAAAATACAAACTTGTGTTGCCACAATGGACCAATTCCCACCTCTCGAACTGGCTGGGCCACTCACCAGGCTCTGCATGGCACTGGGGTCCTTCTTCAGTGGCAGTGCACCAATCCTGGCAGGAGTCTGGCTGGCCCTTCCCCACCTCCCTGTGCAGCTGAGCAGAGGGGACTCTCCATCTTGCCAAAATGGTCGGCTGCCAGGGGAGGTGAAGAAGGGTCAGTCAGGCTTCTGGCAGGATTGACGCAATAGCATTTTACATTTTCTACATACAGTACAGTTCTACAGTACAGTTTTTTAAATGAAGCAATTCCCATGTGTTTCTCAGAAGAAACAAGTGTTCTAAACCATTTAAAAATAGTTTATTTTATATCCTGTTAAAAATTGGCCCCTGAAGAAGAGAATAGTAAACCACTCCTGTGTAACTAGAAAATCCCAGAAAGGGTTGCCCTAAGTCAGAATTGAGTTGACAGTACACAATTATTATTAAAAAGTGGTTTCAATTCCCTTTAGGAGTTAGGATATTTTTCAAGACCTCTTCTGTAACTGGAATGAACTTTATTGATGCTGCTCCTTAGAAAATGAAGTTACCATATTTTTCGCACCATAAGATGCACTTTTTCCCACAAAACAGGGGGGTGGAAAGTCTGCGTCTTATGGAGCGAAGAAAAAAAAGATTATATTTTCCTGTTTTCTTCTCCTAAAAAATTGGTGCGTCTTATGGAAAGGTGCGTCTTATGGAGCGGAAGTTGCATTAGCAACAATCAAAACGTCAACATTTGCTTAATGGCAGATGGCAAAATGAACAGACAAACAAAATGATCACATTTCAGAAAGGATCTTCAGCAAAACCAATTATAGAGATGAGCATAATTTATTGTTCTCTGTTGTTACCTAAAATATTATATGGAATGGGCCCATTATGTCAAGAGTTTTAAAAGTCTGTTTCAGTAATGCAAATATGCCTAACGAACATGCTGCAATAACAAGTTTCGGGATGTTGGCTGCTCTAGTCCAATTCATGTGGACGTTGTTTCTATGTCACAAAAATGGCTGGCAACCCTCAATATAACTACTTTTGAACATTGCAACAAATCCACAGTCAGAACAGCTTGTAATACGGAAGCAGCCATGATGTGGTACCCTTGCAAAGGGCTCCCCAACCCATGGTATACATGTGTACTCTCCTTAAACAATTAGATATTCAGATTTATAATGAAGTGCCACAATTTGTTGTACAAATTCAGTTTGGTCAACAGTTTGTCTTTGGGTTAGTATTTAGTTGACAGATGTCTATGGAGCTACTCTGGCTATTCACTGTTCCAGGTTGGCACATGTACCTGTAGGCATACTGCTTCTATTGGAAAAAAACACATTTTGAAAATGAGTGGGAGAACTGGGATCCTTTGGTTTGATTTCTCATAGACATAGGTGAAGATGGGGCCTGGTGAAAGCTCAATCTGCAGCATGTAACAAACTGTCCTTAGTGCAAAAGAAAACACACACGCACGCACGCACGCACGCGCGCGCACACACACACACACACACACACACACACACACACACACACACACCATTTATACAGAAATAGGTGCAGCTCGAATGAGGAAGATGTGCCACCATTTTGTTTTTCTCTTTCTCTGTCTCTCTCACACCAAATTCTCATGTACTCCCAACTCAAAATGGAAGTACAAGTACTGATTGTTTCAGGCACTTTAGAAAGATAACACAAGAAGCAATCTTCCCTTAGGACGGATCACTGTACATGGTGTGGTGATTGGATACTATGCTCCAAGACCTCATAACATTATGTCACTCACAGCTATGACTATTCAATGGTTAAACACACTAAAAACATATACAAGAAGTTTGCTTCATACAAAACAATTGGGCAGAATAATGGTTGCATGTTTTGTTTAATATCTAGGCTTCTACAAAGGCTTAAAATACTTTTTTTAGGAGTGGGGTAGACCAGGCCAGCTAATGATAGAAACACACCAAGTGGCATGGCTAGGCAGCTGGTAACTTGTCCCTGTCACTGTTTTTCTTTTTCATTGGCTTTTCTCTCATTCCATCTCGTAAGAGTGCTCACTCAGCCTGTTCTGTTCCTCTCACCACACACCAGACAGTAGGATTACAAATGATAATGATGCATGCACATTGAGTGGAATAAGGAGCAGGCAGGGTACACAAGCAGGTGAAAAAGGTTGTTACTCCAGCAGTAAGGAAGTCTAGAAGTGAAGATGCAATTTGCAGATAGATAGATCAGACAGACAGACAGACAGACAGACAGATAGCTAGATAGCTAGATAGCTAGATAGCTAGATAGCTAGATAGCTAGATAGATAGATAGATAGATAGATAGATAGATCCAAAAGCAGCTCAAAGCATTAAGGTTTCCTGCTCTTAAAAACTTCTACTCTTGAGGAGCCTCCTTGCTGTTCAAGAGCTTGCTGTTTGCCACCTAGTAGTTGACAACAGGTAAATTTTGGTTAATTAATTAATCATTTTTATTTTAAAAAATGAGAGGTACACAATCTCAGGATCTGCTTGATATACATACTGATTTTCAGGACC